GGGGGGAGGGGCGCGCCGCGGCCTGCGCCGGGAGGGCTTGTTGGTGCGGGGCGGGCAGGGGGGGCTGTGCGGGCGCTGCCCTGCCTGGCGCTTCTGAGGGGTCGTTTCCTGAAGAAGGGAATGTCGCGTCCTTTGCCTCGTCAGCCTTTTTCTGAAGGGCTCGGGACGCGTGTCCAGGCAGGCGCTGACGTTCCCGCCCGCCGTTTCAGGCCGGGTCCTGCTGCGGGAGGTGCAGGCGCTCACGTTCCACCGAGGGCAGCACACGGCGTCCCGGCGCGCGGCCGCCGTCCCGCAGCTGCAGTGCACGGGGGGCTCTGCCGGGTGCTCCCGTGTGCCCGACGTGGTCCAGTGTTACAACAAAGGCTGGGATGGCTACGACGTACAGGTAACTGTTAAAAGCTCGTTGAATGCTTAATGAAATAACCTCCCACCAGACATGGTACCTTCCGGTGAAGAAAGAGTAACGGACCCAGTTTGCTTTGTGTTAGAGGACCTTTGACAGCTAAAGCTTAACCTAAATCATCTTGGGTTTGGATTCTCCAGAACTACGGTAGATACATGTTTGAAATGTCCCTGAATGCTGATGTCAAAGCAAACTTTCCCTGGTTTCAGTTAGATGTTGCTCGAGTTTATCAAGTCAAACTTGTGGACCCTTGAGGATGCTGTTCCTCTGCGATTGCTGCATGGGTCTCAATTTTTAGAGTAGGAAGGGGTATAAATATTTGCATCATTTCATCTCTGTCTTTTAAAACTAAATTTCAGACTGGCATGACTCCCTCTTGCATGCTGGTCATTACATAGTCATGTATTTCTGTTCTATTAGCTGTTATCTAGGCTTGTACTGAGAGATTAATGAGGAAGCAAGGCTGAAGATAATTGCTAAAACTGACACAGTATTGTCAAATTACAGTCAAATGTTAATTTGCCCTGCACTGTTAATTTAGAAACTACCACTTTTTCTTATTTTCCAAAACATGTGTCACTTGCAGTTGGAGGTGATACACAAATAAGATATTTAAAAGAAACATGAGACTGAGGAATTCACATACATTCAACAGCAGAATCACAAACCTGATTGTTAAGTATTGCATGGGAATGCCTAATAACCTATGTCCCATTGTATTGTGATTTCTGTATGGACATAAATGGAATCAGGTGCACTGGATTTCAGACTTTCATATTGTATTTTTGTCACTGCCATCCAGTTCAGGCTTCTGTTAAGTAACTGTTGCAGAGGGTACAGCTTCTTTTTAGAAGTACTCCTGTGCCTGATCAGTGAAGAAAACCAAAATCTTTCTGAGTTGTAATGCTTCTGTGTTCAACAATGTCTGGCGTTTATTTTTAATTTTATTTTTTTTTAATTTTAAAAAACATTGTTAGTTGTTTTCAAGTTAAAGCTTTATTTCAGAGCGTACTGGGGGAGGAAGATGAGTATTTTAATCTCTGGAGCAGAGGGTTTTACTGTGCATTGTGTTTATTTCTCAGTGGCAGTGCAAAGCAGACTTGGAAAAAGCCTACAGGTTTGGGCAGATTGAAGTGAGCTGTGAAGGCTACGATTATCCGGATGATCCTTACATCTTGAGAGGCTCCTGTGGTTTGCTGTTCAGGCTAGAGCTGACTGAGGAAGGTGAAAGGAGAATGAAGAGCTCGGGAAGTTTCGGCTCTGGCTATTATCAGTCAACGAAGGATTCTTCTGGTTGTGGAACAGGAGCAATTATTTTAATCATTCTTCTAGTTCTTGTTTTTGGAGCACAAAAGCTCTTCCCCGGTAACCAGCAGCTTCAGGAGACTTTGTGTAGCAGTGACGGATCTCCTGGGCCTTCCTGGCAGAGTCAGCAGGCACCTCCTCCTCCTGGTTTTAAATCCAGCTTCACAGGTAGGGCTCCAAGCCATTTACGATACTGAGAAGAGCAAGCAGGATTGTACAGTTTTATCTGCAGTAAGTGCAGGAGGGATAGACTTAAAACCAATGTATTGATGGTTGACTGCCAGTGTTCTTCGTTCGGATGTGAAAGTAACATCTTGGTTTCCCACAAGCTTTTGAGGCAGGCTGTGCAGCAAGGTTCCCTTTGAACCTTGGTAAATCTATCTCCCCCTGATCTGCAAATGCGCTTTTTAAACTCTAAAATATGCAGGGAAGAGCAACTTTCATAAGTAAAATATGTAGTCACAGTGTAGTCTCATGCAGGCAGGAACAGACTCATGCCAAAGAAAGGCTTTGGAACCTTACAGAAGGGTCTTTCAGCCGTTGTGCTGCCTGACCACCAGTGCATTCACAAAGCAGTTGTTGGAGTCGAGTGTCATGTCCTCTGTGTAACAGGTGCTCCTGTGTAGTCCCAGAGGTTGAAAGGATTCTTTCCCAAAGCTGAGAACAGTCTCTGTGAACTATCACTGGGGGTGCAGCACCTGGATCTTACGTGGTGCCTTTCATCAGAAGCTGGGAATTGTGTGAGCAGTGGTGATGCTGCTGTTAGGAAAAGATGCCCTTTTTCTTTTCCAAGAAAACCAATGACTTCTTGCTTACTAAATGGACAGCCTTAGATGGTCATACTGTCTGAGGGAAACAAACATGACTCATCTGGTGTCTGACTACCTCATTAAACCCTCTGAACATGTGAAATACAGCACTGGAATCCAAATTATATTCTGACAGGTCGCATAATCTCCATCTTTTCATTTTTTGTGAGATAGAATGGTTTGGGTTGGATAAGACTGTTGAAGGTCATGTAGTCCAACCCCCCTGCAGTGAGCAGGGACATCTTCAACTACATAAGGCTGCTCAGAGCCCCATCAACCTGACCTTGACTATTTCCAGGGGTGGGGCATCTACAACATCTCTGGGCAACCTGTTCCAATGTTACACCAGCTTCACTGTAGAATATTTCTTCCCTGTATCTAGTCTAAATCTACTCTTTTTTAGTCTAAAAACATTACCCCTTGTCTTATCACTACAAGCTCTGCTAAGAAGTTTGTTCCCATCTTTCTGATAGGCTGCGCTTCAGTACCATAAAGCTGCAGTGAGGTTTCCAAGGAGCTTTCCCTTCTCCAGGCTGAACAACCCCAACTCTCTCAGCCTGTCTTCATAGGAGAGGCGCTTCAGCCCTCTGATCATCTTTGTGGCCCTTCTCTGGACCCACAAAGAGAAGGGATTCTATCCCCTAAATAAACAACACGGATTAAGTTTGGTTAGTTGAAAGCATATGTTTCAGTAATGCTCCTTGATGCTTTCTTCCAGGGCTGCTCAAGCCACTTGGCCAAGAGGGGGTGCCATTATATCAGATCCCCTTGTGCAGAGCATGCACAGCAGAAGATTTCAGATGTGTGTGCAGCAGAAACTTAAAGGGTTCATCTTAAAGGGTTTCTGCTTCTGTGTTACTAGTGTCTTTCCAAACTGGTTTCCATGTAGTTATTTCAGACCTCAGACAGTCTGTCTGTGCTGTGTGTGCATCAGTGACACTGTGTGTGCATGCTGCTTGCTGCTGGTGTGACTGTGGTAGTTGCTGAGAGCCCTGGTCACAAGTCAGGGGTCTGTCATCCTGATACAGGCAGAGCAGAGTGAATGGTTATTTTCTGGGTTTTTTCTGTCCTGTTCCTTGCAAGTTCGTTGCACCACTCCATTTTTCATTGCAGAAGTCTGAAATCTAGCAAGGTGAATGCCTTGAAAATGTTTTCCTAGTTAATACTGAAAATTAAAACATTGAAAGTGCATCTTGGAAGCCATAAAAGGCTTAACTTATGGCGTTTTTAATAACACGTGTCAGTGACTTCTCCTTAGATTTCAAACAGTGTGAGGATTAAACCTCTTGAATGTGGAGCCAGCTTAAATATGAAGTGTTACGCTGCTTCATGCATTTAGTATCTGCCTTAAATTTTATAGTGGAGTAAAAGCATGTCTCTGATCATGTATGCCCATGCATTCCAGGAATGCATTAGTCTTTGAAAACCTGGACAGTAATTAAAAGCAACGTCTTTCACTTATTGCTGTTAATATTTAATTTGTCTCACTGTAAATCCCCTTAATATGCAGAATGCACCCTGTGAAACTTGTTTAGCTAGCCTAACTGAATTAAATTCTGCATTTTCTCTGTTAGTGGTTTGACATGATCCTTAATATTTACTCTAGATATTTCACCAAAAAATGACTCAGTTCTCTGAGTCAGTGTTCAGATGTCGTGCTCTTGAACAAATGAGTTGGTTCATCTCCCTGATTAACATTGTTTTTACAGTTAATGAAGTACTAGGGGGGTTTTGTCCAGAATCAGCATAGTTTGATGGGCGTATGATCTTAATGAGTTTGTCTTTCTCCCAGTGCATTCAATTTTAAATTCAATAACAAATAAAATGTAGACTTAAACTAATTAATTAAATATATGTTTTGTATCGTCCATGACTTCACACAGTCCTGAAGATAGGCCCTGTATAAATTTTGCACACAAAATCTCTTGTCCACTTGTTTAGACAGGCATGTTTCAGGGCCATAATTTTTAGTATTTGCCTTTTACACTTCCTTATGTGATAAGCCTGTGATTGAGCTTATTCTTGCATCCTTGGTTTTTGTTAGACCAGAAAATTATTCTACTTTGTTTTTACGTCTTCTCTTTCCATTTCTAAATGGAAGACATTTGGTTCTGAGTCAGAACCTCATGTTATGCAGGTCACGTGAAAAATCTGTCTCTCGTCCCCTTATAACCCACTTGATAAGCTTGCAATTTCATCAAGGTATTTGTCAAGCTTGGTGACTCATGCATAGTAAAAACATTGCAGTGTGATTTCAATTAGCTTGTCTTTTGATAGCAAATACCTGACTAGAATTGCCAGAAACAATACAAAGTCATGTAGACTGAGCCGCTGGTACTCAAAATGAGCAGCTGTTTCGAGTGAGATTAGAAGCAGTGTGTCCTAGTGGTTAGTTCACTCTGTGGTCTTAGGTATTTGATTTCTGTTCTTCGTTCTGGCCTGCTATCTGACCTTGAGCAGATTACTTTTTCTTAATTTCCTTTTGTATTTATTTTTTTTTGAGCAATCTATCTGTTTATGAATTTGCAAGCTGGGCATTTTTAGTGTTTTGCAAACGTCAGGGCTGTGAGATTGAGTGGAAGCTAATTTTTAACGTAAAACTATTTAGTGTTCATATCTGTTTTTTCCTGCTTTCTGAACTTTGAGGCCTTGATCAAGAATCTGCTGAAATTGGGAGAAATTTATGGTCTAATTTTCCATTATCTTTAACACAGCAGAGTCTTAGTGGCACCTAATCCTCAGACCAGCTGTTGCAATAACTGATATGTTTTCATTTTGTTTAAGGAGGTGACAGCTTTGGGACACATTCCAGTCAAGGAACCAATTCAGGGCCAGGATTTTGGACTGGATTAGGAGCAGGAGGCTTGCTGGGCTACTTGGCTGGCAGTCACAGGTAAAATATGCATGCTATCAGATTTTAGGTATTTAAGCTTTCAGGGGGTATGCCATATAATGTTTACACATTGTTGCTAAGCTTTCAGTCCTGTATTGTTCAAGCTGTAGAATACATAACTCTAGTACAAATTTGAAGGAGCGATCTATAACTCCAGCAGCAGAGATATTTTAAACATATTTCTGGGAAAAAAGAATTGGAAGGACTGTGGTACTTTGTTCTTCTTTAGTTGATCACTCTGACCTGGCATGATAACTTGCAAATTGAAAATGAGCATTTAATCAATCCATCCAAGGACTGCCTTAAAACACAGATATTAAGCATAAAGCCATCTCTACATACGTTTCTTATATCAATGTTGTCTGTTCTAAAGGCAGTCTGGATGGCAGCTGCTCTTCTGTGATACTCAGTCTGGTCAAATTAAGCCACATTTAATTTACAGTCTCCTAACAGCCCATATATGGAAGTCCAAAAGGTGTGGTTTTCCAGAGGTCTTTTAGGTACCACGTAAGTTGCGTTTCAGAAAACTGAAACACAAACATCATTCAGAAGTAGTTTTAGTGCTGGAGTAAACATCTGCTGGTCACATTTGCTGCACACTTCTGAACATTTAAAATGCACCAGTTTTAGATAAATAGTTTAAAGGGCACTATTGCTGCCATTTTAGGCTTCTTTAGATAACACATGTGGCTCCTGCAGGGACTCTTTAGAGCCCAAGCAGTTTCCTCTATTTATCAAATATTTGGTCATCCACTGTTATTTTTCTCAGTTGTTTGAAATGGTGTGCCTGAAAATGTTGGTGTCAGAAATTGAGACAGCTATTTGTAAATTTCAGCAACAGACATTTCCATATCCATAGAAGCAAGTAATTTAAATTGGTGAGTCAAAGGTCATGAGGTGTCAGTTTTATTGATTCAACCTTTTCAAGGTAGTTAATGGAACAGAAGGATATTTTCTCTTATGTGTCTCGGACGTAGGCATTGCCAAAATACATTTAAGCTTCAGATGTAAATTTACTTTCTTGTCTGACAGAATCCAAGGTTAAAATTTCAAAGGGGAAAATTTCCTCATTTGCAATTGTTGGGAATTGCTTATCCTGAAGAATGAGCTTCAAATTTCTTTTAAAAGTCTGCAAGTGTTTTGTGACAACACTGGATATCCTTGCTGTGAACAAATGTAAATCGTATTAAATAGGGAAATTTCCAGCTTTGAAACAACTGCCTACTTGCAGTTTCCCCCAGAGATGCAATCTCCTTGTTGTTTGGAATGGTAATTCCTTCATTTTTTGTAAGGACACTAATGAAGACTTCCTTCTACTCTTGTTCCTCATCAGAGCACAGCCGCGTTCCCAATATTATGGTATGTGGACAGATCCTACAGCTGCACCTCCAATGAATGAGCAGTCAAGCAATTCCACTCAAAGTGACAGTTCAGGAACAAGAACTGCTTCTGGTAAGGCAAAGGAGCTTTTAACCTCTTGAAGCCTGAGAGGCTTTGACCTATCAAAAATAGACAGATGTTAGCTGAGGTTCAGCAAGCGCTTTTTGTTTTGTTTTACCACTTTCTTTCATGCCTGCCTGTCCCATGTATCTGTTTCCCATGGGAGTCGGGCAGCATCGTGGGGCATGAAACTCCTTAGAGGCTTACAAAATGGGCATGGCACCACCAGTACTGGGTTTGCCTTCATCTGCAAGGTGCATTAGTTTAAGGCTTTCCTCTTTGGCATGCACTATATGTGCTTTTCTCTAGCCAATTTGTAGAAACATGATTTATTGGTGGAGAACAGGTTGTCAAATTTGCAATAATGGAACATTTTCCAGGCCAGTCAGCCCATGGTTGCTTGCTGTTCTCCTTTGTGTGAATATACTTAACTCACCTCGCCTACCACCTTTACCCTTTTTAGAACTAGAGGAAAGGCTGTGGTGGAGCTGACACTTTTTTTTTTTCTTTGCAGGCTTTGGGGGCACCAAACGAAGATGAAATCCTTAATGTTATAACATCTGAATGATTGAGCAAAACCTTCCTGTGTGCTAGTGCTTTTTTTTGTTAGGTAGTAGGCTTCAGAAATGGATATGAGAAGAAGTGTGAAGGACTAGGCAAAGAATTCCTCTCTTTCCTTTTTTTTCTCTTGTTCAGAGTATCACAGGTGCTTGAGCATTTCAAAACAGCAGCTTCTCATAAGATACAAAGTAAACTCATCGTAAGAAAAACCATGTTACGGTGCCCATACATCTCTCTATACTTGAGGGATTATGGCAATAGTAGCCTCACCAGCTTTTCAAAACAAGTAACTTACTCATGTTCTAAGCTTGAGTGCATTTAATCCATCATTAATTATTTTTTTCTTTTTCTTGGTGGATCTGAAAGGCCTAGTGTGTAATCTACCTGCTATCTAAGGGGTGCTGGTCTTTAAAGCTTCTTTGTTTGTCTTTGTGAATTTCATGTGAACATTACTGCAAGTGCAATCTGCTACTCAGGTAAGTGTTGGGGTTTTTCCTTAGTGGAAAAAAATAAGACTATGTATAGAGAGACTAACATTAATGTAATGTTTGTATCTGTGCTATGTGAATATTGGAGCCAAATTTGCAGATTCAAGGATAGTCCGTGTTTTAGGGCTTACCCAAGTGGCTGTGCAAATCTGTGGGATTTTCTGTATAAATTATGGGAAAAAAAGATAACCTGAAATGAGACAACAGAGTCCTTCTCTAATTTGCACCTTTTGGAAGACAAGTTATTTAAATTCAGGTGTCTACAGACATTTTGCCCACATTGAGGCTCCAGACTTTTCTTTTTATGGTGGATGTAAGCAATGCTGTGAAAACTTCTGTTGTGAACAGTCTCTCCTGCTAAGTGACCTGTCCAGGACACAATAAACCAAAAGTGCTCATTGGAAAAGGGAAGAGAGCATTCTTAATCCAAAGCTGGGTAGCATCTCTAGAAAATAGCAGGCCTTCAGACTAAGCAAGGAAGGAAATGCCTAATGGAATGTAAACTTTCCCAAATGTACTTTCTAACAACAAAGTGCTGTCAAAGAGTGGGAAACTGAGAGGTCTTTGTTCTGTAATGATATTTAGGGGCTCTGAAAAGCATTGTGTAATTCTTGTGTGATTGACTGTACCCTGGGAGAGGCATTGTAGAAGAAAAAACAGAAATTTCTCAGGATTGCCAGGGGAGGAATTGGCTGCTTGACCACTGCGTCTTCTCAAGAAGCCATCCTGGTATAGCTTAGAGGTGTGTGCACACAGCTTTTCTATGCTGGCAGCAATCTGATAAGCAGAGCTTTCATCCTTGTGAAAATGCTGTGTCCAGGAATCAATGTAAACTGTTACAGGAAAAGGAAAGCACCGTTCAGCGGGTACAAGCTGCATCTCTTCGAGGAGATACAGCAGGTATGGCAATGTGCCTTCAGCCTTAGTCATCAGAAAGCAACTGTGTCCATTCATGAGTACAGAAATAATAGGTTAAAATGGTAATGCCTGAGTTCAATATCTGGTTTAAGCAGCAACAACAAAAGACATAGAAATCTTAAGGAAGTCAACAGAAGCTACAAAAAGTGTAGAGCTTGTGCTGAAAATGTGAAAATCTTGATAAAACTGATAACTTGAGAATAGTGGTTTCTGCTCAGAGCTTCTTGAGGATTGGCAGAAAATATCTTCATTAACAGCCTGTTCTATTAACCTAGAAAGCAGGAAAATGCCAGGCACCTAACTACTTGGCTATTCAGAAGTTCTGCCTTTTGTGAGCAGAAGTTTATGACATTTTATTCACCAAATAGAAAAAAAAAAAAATCTTCTAAATGGGGAGGTTTTACTTACTTCTAAGTGTATTTGGGTTGAAATTTGTCACCCTCAGTACTCTTTGCCAACTAATTCCATAACAATGAAACTGGATTTTTGCTAATTGTGTACTTTTGAGCTGAAATTTGCTCTCAAATTGTGATGTGAAATGTTTTAGATTATGTTTTCATTTGTGTTCATAGTTTCTGCATGAAACATAGCCTGTTGCATGAACTGGACAAATTAACATAGTTTCTGAATCTGTTTGTAGGATATTCTTACCTTTCCCTTTGATAAAGTAATGAAATAAGTCAATAAGGAGTGGTTTTTTTCTTTAAAGCACTGTCTTGGGGCCTGCAGGCGTGGCACTGTCTTGTTTTTCAGGGTTGGCTATGTCTCAACATCAACTTCCTGGGTGGTGTAATGACATCCTTTACCCCCAGATGCAGAGCTCGTAAGCTGTGTATTGTTTCAACGAAATAAGACAGTACTGGAAATAGAGTTATTGATTGGATTTTCAATAACAAAATACTTAACCACATAAGGAAGTGAAGGATTTCTTGCAAGTCAAGGTTTCACACCTGAGTCTGCAGAAAAGCTCCATTGTGTTAGTTCCTGGGTTTACTAGGTGATGAGCTGAACCTTTCAGAACAACTTATCATCACTCCTGCTGTTTCTGGTTCTGAATATAGCAGAAATCTACCCTGGGATGGCAGCAACAGATGTGCTTCTCACACGCAGAATGTGTCACTGCTGAACAGAGACATGACCTACAGACAGAGGCAGTTCAACTTCTTGGCAGTAGTGATGTAGAGTTAAATGGAGGGCTGCAAATTCTGGTATCAGAATTTCCTTAGTACTTGATCAAAGATGTTGGTGAAGGTCCTGAATGAAAAGAAGCTTGTGGAAGGCAGCTTAGAATTCATACCTGTGAGAGACTTTGAGCTTCCTTCCTGAACATCTGATCTGGAAGTCACAGCCTTCTTTCTGTTCCTGGACAGGGTTTTGGCGGCATCTTCCCAGCAGCTTCATACTTGCAAGGCATATGTAAATGCTTAAACCATTAAGTGCTGTTGTAGGATAATTGCAGTTGTACTTGGCACCCGGGACTAGTTCTGCTCATAGTCTGACATGGGTTACATCCTCACACAAAGCTGAAGCTCATTACAGGAATGAAACTCCTGGTTTTACAGCTGACTTCCTCTGAAGCATGTGATGAAAAAAAAAAAAAGATGCAGAGAGATAAGCTTTCTCTGTGCCCACTCTGTCTTGTGACTCAACTCCTAGGTCAGCTCTTGGCTGGCTCTGCAGACTGTCGTGCTATGCAACTTGCTCCAAGGTGTGTGTTAGACTTACCAGCAAGGAGAGATGTTCTTTTTTTAAAAAATAAAAATATGTCGTGATCATCACTTTACATCATTAAATTCTAAAAGGGAAATTAAGCCAGGTGGCACAATTCCCAACACAAGGACTTGCTGCACAGAGAAATTACTGGAATAAAGTAGTAGGCAATGCCTACCTCCAGAGCCATCTAAAAGCTGAAAACGCAGTATTTGCAAACAGGCAGTTGTGCACTTAGCACCAATCAATGTATTTCTCCCTCCTTAGCAAAGCAAATTGCTGTTTTTAATATTTTCAGAGTACCTGTCAACCACTGGTACAAAAATAGGCCAGCTGCCTCCAAACTAGAGTACATGAGTAAAATCACAAAAAAAACCAAACTCATGGAGATGGTGTCTATACCAATAGCCAATGCTGTCATCTCATGTTCCCCTTCCACACCTATTGGGGCTGTTCAGGGTCAAGTGCTGCATGGAAGAGGTTCCCTATCATTCAGCATATTTCGCTGAAACCTCTGCTGCTGATTCTTCTGCTTTCCCAATATCATCTCCCACTACAGTGTTCAATTTCTGACATCTCTGTTTCTATTGCAGCTGTGTTTTGCCAGTGCTACTGAATATAATCAGCAGACTCCTTTTATGACCTGCATTTCTTATTTCCCACTGTCTTCCCTCTTACAGTTCCCTCTGTTGTGTCAGTTTTTCTTCAGAAAGGAAGTGACAAGTCCTTGCAAAAAGGACATTGAGTTGGGAATGACTGGAGTAGATTGAGATGAAGCCTAGGGAGCAATCTGTCAGGCTGTGAATTGACCTTTGTGGGCAGTATGTCTGCAAAAATAATGGTTTTTTTCAGCCTTCTGCCAGAGGATATTTTTGTGAAGGGTGCAGTATTGGCAGCTAGAGACTGGAGCAGATTAAGTGCAGCAGGTTGGAGAAGACCTGAAAACATCCTCTCCATCCTGCCTCAGGAATGATGAAAATGTGTGCTAGCATAACCAGGAAGCTGGCCTAGGATATGCTAGCCCAGCCACTCCACAGACATGCCACTGCAAATCCTGTAGGTAGATGTATGTCTAAACATATCAGATGTGTCTGAAAATGCCTCAGTGCTAGTGCCAAGCACAAGAAAGAGGACTTGGCCCTGCCTCCATGCTTCTTTCCCACTGTAGTGTGTCTTGGAATGAACCAAGAAGGGTAGTGAATTCACACCTGCACCAGCCAAAGCCAGGCTTGCAGGTGGAGCCTCTCTGCTCACACTTCACACAACAGTAGGAAATTCTAGGCAGCTCTAATAGCAGTTGTATCAGGATTATTTTACTGGGCTGGGAGGTTTCATCCTGCATCCCTAAAGAAGTCCTAGGGGCAATATCAGTGTTCCATATGGACACCCTTTGCTGTGAGGACCATCTCGGCCATAAGCCAATTCAGTCTTCAAACTATCCGCTGTGAAGTTTGGTGGAAGCAAATCACCATCTGCCTAAAGACCAGGTTCTCTGAGTTTCCATGCAAGGAATTTTTGCTCACTTACTGGATTTGCCTTGACTTCCCCTGTTCTGTATTTGAATGTCATTGTACAGGATCTTCTGAGACTTGGCCTGGAGATCATCATCCTGAGACCACTGCCTCTGCTAGCCATCTTCTACAGGCCTCCAGTGTCCTTCTAATCAGCATGTGGGGATGTATTTATTGAGGCAGCAATCCAAAATGCCTTTTGCTACTGCTGAGTAATGGGAGTTACTCATCTCCCAGTCAACTCCTGTAGTCATTTTCATGTCATTCAGCAGCTGTAAATGCATCACATCTGCTGCAATGGGCAGAAAACAATTATAGTTGAGGGGGAAAAGTTAAAAAGTGTAATGAATGT